AGGATTGCTACAAGGTCTGCACGAGATGAGAAAAACATGTGGTGTACGATACAATGAATTGATATTGCGATTAACAAAATAACAAAGTGCATATCAGCAACGACTCTTTTTCTCTGTCTGCTGTTTTTGTGTCAACAGAATACCTGTGGTTGCCACATGTTTGGCCTGAATCCTTTTTTCTTCTAACCACCAACATGGCTCCAATGAAGCTTATTGCTAGCTTGAGCTTTATTAGACGGATCAAAATGGTGTGAGAGCATGAACAAAATACTCAGGCGTCCCTCTAATAGTCAGATGTGAGCAGCTTGTGTGATAAAACGTTAAATGTTTGAATAAAAATACGTTTTCTTATTTGTTGTGATCAATTCAGACTTTTGCAATGTGTAAATCGTTGATGCTAATACTGCGGTAATCAACTTCAACTTCAACTTTATTAGTCCCTGAAAGCTGATTTGTTTCACTGCAAGGAATAACAGGACAGAACGAAAAAAAGGCAAAATACATTTAAAAAAGCTAACACGGTAAAATGTAAACTTGCGATTCCAATCGCGATTGACGGATTAGCTTTGTTTGCTAATCTACAATTCTTACACAATCTTGCCTCCTTGTTTTTGCTACCTTTAGCCTTAGCTAGCGTACGAGCTAAGCTTCCATCAGTCTTGCAATGTTAGCATACCTGTTCAGAACAACATAGCAGCACCACGATGATGAAGTAAAACAGATTTATCCTTCAAAGTAGTCACCTGAGTTCATGGCATATATTGTTGACAATCTAGCTAGACTCATGTAACATCTGTTCTTCTTCTTCTGCTTGTGGAAATTATGATATTCTGCTTTTTATATCATATCAACTCTTTTCCAGTTTGTCCTGAGTCATTGTGCCAGGGGTCAGGTCAGAGAGCACAAAGAACATGATACATGGTTTGTTTTGTTTTTTTCTCCTGCAGCAGTGTGTGTTTGGGTTCAGGTGTCAGCAGGTCATTCCCCTTCTACTTCCTATTCATGCAGTTTGCTTTTAGTTGAACCCATCTCCTTTTTGCTGAGCGTTGCTTTCAGCTATAGCTTCTATTTGGCTTACTGCAGGGGTTTTTTCAAGGTGACTGCTTACCTCTTACTTTGTAGTTTGAATATTTTATATTGTCTTTTATCTTGCTGACAATATATTTATATATATTATCAGTTTAATTTCAACCTGCAGACATGCTGAGAGGGCTCTTTTGGATATAGCTCAAGGAAAAAGACGTACGAGTAAGGGGAGTTTGATGGAGGCCTTACAAGAAATACTGTACGGCATGTAAATCAAATGCAGAGTGCACCAACGGGAATATCCAGTAAGTACATGAAGCATAATACAGCACCTGGGAAAAACCTTAAAAAGTACATTTTCCTGGCTTCCTCTGCCCTCTGCTAATGCATCATAATGGAAAGTAGTGCAGTTTCGCATGCAGGAAATGGACTCTCAAATAGCAAAGATCTGGGGGCCATTTCTGCGTGAAATGAGTTGCAGCGTCATTGACCAATTACTTTCCCCCAATTATCTCTATCCGGCATGTTTATGAATAAAATGAGCTCACAGTGGACGGAGAGGGGAGGTCATTATCAGCCAACACAACATAATTGCAGATCGCCTGGCTGCTTTGGGTAAAAGATAAGCATCTTGGGTATGCACAGGCCAAGGGGCAGAGAGCATGCTGGGACTTAATGTCCCCAAGCTCGAGGGTTGAGAGCAGACTGAGAGGTTTGATTTGGAGAGTCATTATCAACAGACATGCTGCATTCAACCCACACACAATTATCAATTACTGTAACAACCCTTCTCAAATTCTCTAGTGGCCAGATGAGTGTGGGACAATTTTCGCTCCCATTCTAATCAGGCATGAATGCCGGAGTACCAACAGCTTCACAGAGCCGCTAAATTCCAGTAATTCAGTGTCCTAACAAGTGAAGTTTAACTCTTTGCGAATCAGGGAAATGTGCATCTTAGGCAAAGTGAATAAAACTGATGTAAACAAGCGGGAGTGTTGGTGTGGGTTTGTGTTGAAACAACTTTGTCAGCAGCTGCTTTTAGGTGCAACCTGAGGTGTTAAAAAATGAAGCTGACGCGGAAGTGCAAAAACTGCAGTTCCTCGAGTGGCCACTTGAGGCTGGCTGCAAAAGCCCCAGAAGTCGCATACACACCCATCGTTAAATGTCATTTTTTACAGCAGAGATACACAGCTTTTCAGCCTGGTAGAAAAAGTGATTTTGGTCTTAACAGCTCATTTTACTCTCGGCACATGATGTACAGGGGGATTTTTTTTCTGCACGGGAACTCATTTTTGATTTCTTTAGATTTTATGTAGTATAAGAGTTATTCATAATAAGGTTGAGACTACATTCCCAATGGTGACCGCCATCACTGGTCTTCAAAACTCTTCCTCAGAAACCAATGGATGATGTCACTGAGACTATGTTAGTAATGTTTTTACAATTTACAGTTAATCCGTCTCTTTTGGATTTTCACTTTTTTTCTGGGCGTTGTAAAAACTCTAATCACTCTTACTTTTTTGTGTTTAACTATAATTTTTTGTGTTTTTATCAATGCACAGTTTGTAATTTCTGCTTTTAGGGGTCTCTGTGTCTCAATTGTTGTGATGTGATGTTGTGATGATGTGAACTTTGACCTGCCGACATACTGCAGATGTAAACTAGCTCTAACTCTTACTGTACAATGCATCACATGGCAACGTTTATGTTTCATTTTGTTCATGGTCCCTTTACAAATAAAATAAAACAAAATGAAACAGCAAATTCTCTGAAGGATTCATGAAGTAGCGATGGATCATGGGACTTGAAGTCTACGTTCTTTATCGACTGCCATTGTGGATGGAAATCAATCTCACAAGACTCAAGGACAAACCATTCGGTGGGGGTTCAGTGCCTTGCTCAGTGGCACTTCAACAGTACTCAGAGGATGAACAAACACCTCTTCAGATAACAGTTGAATATCCAGACTTGGTCCGCATTGGGACTTGGACCTGCAACCCTCCGGTTCTCAACCAAAGACTGAGCTATACTGCTGCATTCTGCAAGTTACTACACAACTAAACAAAAATACAACACTGATTAAGTCATTTTGAGACATGTTAATGAAACATTTCTATATCACTTTCATGACTTTGGCCGGGGTTATGAATTAGATTCATTGCTGGTTTCAATTTATCTGTTCAATGTTTTGGTTTTTAAGAAGTTCTCACTACACTTAAGGTTAATCCGCCATCCTTAACCTTTTACTTTACTGCTATTTAGAACCCAAGTAAGATCGTGAACATTGCCATTATGACCATATAAGATTTAGGATTCAGGGACATCATCTGTATTTCTGGGATGATAGTCTGGCTGTAAAAATCTCTTCGTCATGGTATGTAAAAGTACACAGATTTTTTTTAGGTGTTTAGGACTGGAAGGTCAATCAGAGTTGAAACTTTTTAAAAAGAACAAACAGGGAGCTTCTTGTCTCATTTTCTTGCCCGAGAAAACAGGGTTTCTGTGGGACTAAGTTTAGCCTTGTTTTACTCCTCTGGAGCAGAAAGACTCGTCTAAGAGGGTTGAGGTTAGTCAGGTATGACCTCGTTCTACATATTTAGCATACAGAGTCAGGAACCGGTTGTGCTGGAACAAACTGAATCTAGGTTACTCTATATTCATAACAAACCTTTTGTACGGCAGGTCTTTGGACTGTAAAACTGTAATAAATCTGATCATATCTGATAAGGACATACACGAGTGGTGTCTGTATTGCTTTTGGTATTTAGCTTTTAATTTTTATTGTTTAATTACAAAAGGTTCTTCTGGCCCTAGAGACGGTCTTTTAGCTTTAGGGCAGTTTGTGAGCAAAGTGTGCAAGTATGGGGTTTGTAGGGTAATGGTGTGTGTGTGTGTGTGTGTGTGTGTGTGTGTGTGTGTGTGTGTGTGTGTGTGTGTGTGTGTGTGTGTGTGTGTGTGTGTGTGTGTGTGTGTGTGTGGTGTGTGTGAGAGAGAGAGAGAGAGAGAGAAGAGAGAGAGAGAGAGCAATCCAGGTGCATGGAGCGCTTCACTAACAGGAAGCTACCAACTAGACGTAGACAAAATAAAAGCATGCAATGTTGAATCACACATTCTGACATATAGTTCCCTGATGTTCAATTTTTGAGTATTTTTTAAAATACACCGAAAGTATGCTCAGCGTTTTCAGCTAACTTGCTGATGAGTCATTTTTTTCCCCTTCAAAATAACTGTTTGAGTAAGTTACTGTGTGGATATAGTGTGTATTTCAAGTGCTATACACACATTCAGCTGCCTCCACTGTATAATAATATATATATAAGAATAATAGGAAACATAACCCACATAAAAACAGAGAAGCAGGTACCAATGACAAACAAATGCAATCATGTAATGCACAGTTCCCATATTGCACATGTTCTGCGTTAAAACCAACATCAATCAATCATTATTTGTATAGCGCCAGTTCCAAGTGTTATCTTGAGAAGCTTTACAAAAGAGCATATGGGATACATAAATAAAGATAAAATTGTGCTGGGTTATACTGAGATTATTTCCAGAAAAAGCAGCAGAATAATGGCCGTCTTTGGTTTTCCTGACAAATTTGTAAATATACTGACGGTAAGAATGACCTTTGTAACTGGATTTAGACTTAAGTTTTGATTTGAGGCATTGTGTTGTACTAATATTTATGTTTGACTATGCATAATTGTTGAAACATTGATAATTTTTCCCCCAAAGGTGAATTATTGAGATAAAAATCTGTCAACACAATACATATTTTTTCATAATCCTTTATATTTTCTTTCTAACAAAATAAATATGATATGGAAAAGGTCAATTCTAATGTTTAATTTCTCTAAAAATTTAAAGGTTAACGTCCCAAAGAGGTTGATTTGAATGTATTACCTTATTTTGAAAGCATTAACCGGATGCAGCCTTTACCTTGCAGCCAGCTTACCTCCTGTCTCTAAACACGAGCACCGCCTGTTCTTCAGCTCTCTTACAACAACAAACGCGCTCTCATCGGTTGGACGAGTGCAGACTAGAGACGGAAATACATTAAACATGTAGTTTTCTCAACTTACACCTCGTTAAGTTACACATTTGTGGATAAGACAACTTGAAAACGGACAACAAAAACCAGGTCGCATTCAGTATTTCTCTGCAGACTTTACAGAGAAGCGGCTGTCCCGGAGCTACTCCAACGATACATGGTAAGTTCAGCTTTTAATGGATTCATACTGTAACTATCACACAGAAATTACGTCATAATGTGATGATTTTATCAATGTTGTAGCTGTTGACTTACATGCATGTTTTGCAAGTTTAGATAAACTTCAAAATAAGGGGGAAAAAAATCAACTTCATACATCAGAACTGTGGAGGACCAGATCTGACAGAAGTATAAATAAATAGATAAATAAATGTAGGAATAAATAAATATGGAAATAAATAAATGTATAAATAAATAAATGAATTTAGAAATAAATAAATGTGGAAATAAATGAATGTGGAAATAAATACATGTATAAATAAATAAATGTGGAAATAAATGAATGTAGAAATAAATAAATGTGGAAATAAATAAATGTAGAAATAAATAAATATGGAAATAAATGAATGTAGAAATAAATAAATGTGGAAATAAATACATGTAGAAATAAATAAATGTGGAAATAAATAAATGTAGAAATAAATAAATATGGAAATAAATACATGTAGAAATAAATAAATGAATGTATAAATAAATAAATGTGGAAATAAATAAATGTGGAAATAAATAAATGTAGAAATACATTTAAGACATTTAATTATTTATGTCCCATTTATTTACCAGTTTTTATTTATTTATTCACGCATTTAATTATTTATTTATTCCTTATTTTATTTATTTATTCCAGTATTTATTTATACATTTATTTATTTATTTATTTATTTATACTTCTGTCAGATCTCGTCCTCCATACAGTACAGGTGTGTTAACGATAAATTAGTCATTCAGAGTTACCTCCCATTGTTAAAACACATTTAGAGGAGAGAATTTAAGTGTAGTTTGTCCCCTTTAAAAAGTCCTTCTTTATGTACAAATGCCACCATGACACAGTTTGAGTCTTTCATGTCCACCTCAGTTCTCTTCTTTATCAAACATGTGTTTCAGACCTCTCAGGTTGAGTTGCTTCAGTCATAACAAAGTGCCTCCTTCAGAAACTACAGCCGGACTCATTTCCTGCTCCGACCTCAGCTTTAATCCAGATCATAAATAAACAATTTCCTTTTAAAAGACCCACCATCCGACTCCTCAAAGCAAATCCTACTGCTGCTATCTTATCTCTTTTTGGAAACACAGGCCTGGATATACTGCTCTGAGAATGTAAGATATTACTGCTTTCCATGTTTTTATCATCTTAAGTCACGTTTTAGACACTTAGAGGAAAGATGCCACTGATTTGGGACAGATATTTTTTTGATAAAGGGACGTTTCTTCAGGGTTGGTCAGCTTGTTTTGCTGGAAATCACACATTTTAACTGTAGCCTGATTTCAAACTGAAAAAAAAACTAGGTCCTTGCCGTATTTCCAAATGAAGTGCTTACTTTGTAAATGAGATAAAAATGATATATGCCAAAAAAAGAGGTTTATGTCCTTCTGATCTGCCAGAAAGTATGAACGCATGAACCTGATTTATTTTCCATTTTCTGGTGCAAGAACTCACCAGAATCTGACATATGCCCCTGATGTGTATGGGTACAGTGTCCGATTTCACATCAGTGACATTACAAATCTATTCATGATCTATATTTCATAGCTTGTGCATTAGAAAAAAGTGCTTCCCCCTCATAAGTACAATGGACGACATGCCTTTCGGGGTACAGCAGTAACATATGTGAATTCTTAAAATGAATTGCATTCCCCATCTAATGCCGTCTGAAACCACTTTTGGCCAGACACAGAGGCACTTTCACATCGCCAGGTGCACTGCGAGAGCAGAGTTTCTCTTTTTTTAACAAACGAGAAACAAGAGAACACAGACAAAAGTTTGCAAACTACTGGTGCATATACATTGGATTTCTATTAGGGGGGATTTATGGGGCATATGTGCACCAGAGCTCGCCTCGGTGGTGCATTTCAGACCAAAAATAATCCCCATGTGTGCTCATTTAAGTAAGAAAAGCACCCTAACTATTCTTCATGCAGCATCCTCATCTATAAACACATCCCATACTCGAAATAAAATGATAAAGAACCAACGCAGGAGATCTCAATTCTTCCCCTGTAATCCTCTACGATGTCATATTCAACTTTCCACAGATGAAACACACGCAGAGGTCAAACCTCAGCAAGCTCGCAAAGGACGGGCCGTGTGCCTTCACAGTGGAAGGCCTCACTTATTGATAATTTATCAAGTGATTTTATTAGCACCCGGCAAGACTCCCTAAGAGGAACTGCAGTGTCAGCATATCGGGGTGTTAGCAGCCGTGTAGAGACTTCAGAGTGTCCATCCTCCGTCTTTGACATGACGAGAATATTTCTAACTCTGCGTGTTTATGGATGGGTTGATTGCATTTGTCTCGTTTTAGTTCAGCAGCTTTTTGGATCCATTGTTGAATTTCACATCTGATTTATGTTCGTGTCTTTAAAAGTGATATGCTACTTTTTAGTACCACAGCTTAGGGAATATAAAAATGCCTCCTAACTTTTCAGTCATTTGACAAATACAGTTATCTGCTTAATACGATTGTGTAAAGAAAGACGTCTGAAGCAAAGTTCTCAACTGGTCGTCAAGCCTTTAGGACCCACCACCAACTCCTTAATGAGAAATGGCGACTCAAATTTCAAATGTTTTATAGCATGCGACAGAATAAAACAAACATGGTTCAAACTCCCGCCCAGTGAAAGGCGTCTGATTCAACCGTCACAACAGGGTCCTAAGATGCTAACTAGACTCTTCTCCTCTGGCGCCCCCTTGTGGTGAAACGAGTTTCCAAACTCCATTCGATCTGCAGAGTCCCTCTGCACCTTTAAGAAAAAGCTAAAGACCCAGCTCTTTATGAATACCTACGACCTTCATGATGATGATTACGATGGTTTTGGTATTATTGATGATGATGATGATGATGATGATTGTTTTGTTTGATAACGATGACTTATAAGATGGTTTCTATACTGATTAGAGCTCTCAAGAACTGCCCTCAATGTTGTGCTTTGCCTCTGGTCACTTCCTGTCAGCACCTGTGTGTCCAATCAGACTCAAAGCTGATCGTTTGCTCTTACTGACATTGTTCCCTTTTTTTCTAGATCCTTGCTTGTGTTGTTCTTACTCTCTGATGTACGTCGCTTTGGAGAAAAGCGTCTGCTAAGTGAATTGTTGAATTTAAGAACATGGTTAAATAACGCTTCATACTTTTTGACACCATTTATTTCCTGGCACACTTTTTGCGACCCATTGAAAACGGCTCTTCGACCCACTTTTGGTTCCCAAGCCACCAGTTGAGAACCACTGCTCTAAAGAACCAAAAGTATTGTCAAATATTTCCAGATTGAATCAGTCTAAAATTGAGGCATTGAAACTTAAAGGTTTACTGTAGCTGAGAGAAATTAACACTGGTGTTAAACTGTCATCACCTGTTTGTTATGTTTCTCTTACCATCATCATCATCATCATTATAAACTGCTTTCTACTTTGTCTTTTGAACCCCTGTTTTGTTTGAGTTGGCGGGCCTAAGATGGTATCTCTGGACCGCTCCCTCTTTGTGTCCTCTTATTCATGATGGCAAATATGTACATACCCCTCTGGCCTTGAGCGAAGGCCTTTATCAGCAAAGGCTTTTGACAGGAAGCCCTTTGTCTTGTGATCATTTCTGAAGGAGTTGTTGTCAAAGTTGGCCTTTTGAGGTACGGCCTTGAGGTTCAGGGTGTGCTGGCCGTTGCAAATCGCCATTAGCATTGTTGGGAGAAACAGTCTTCACAAAAGAAGTCCACAAAGCCAGTGGGTTTGTGAAGTTGTGATGTCAAGCCTAGACTTTGACACTATAACTTTGTGTTGTCTTCCAGCCTGACTGAGGCTGAACATAAAAGTGAACATTGGTTAGTTTCCAGATGATAAGAAAGATAGGTTGGAACATTATAGATAATAGATAAGTGTTTTCTGTAATTGATCCCTCTCTGCCCTGCAGCTTTGAATTTTGCCCTTGAGCTGTTTACTGAAGATCAAGTCTCTCCATTCTTTGTGTTTGGTTACACAAACCGTCTCCTTGAAAAACAAATAGAAAGAGACACAGAAACACTGCGGGAGGTGTTGTAGCTGTCAGGCATCATGAAGACCGTGTTGTGTTTTTCGTTCTCCTGAGGGTACATCATCATTTCTGATGGGAAGCCCGTCGACTGTTTGTTTATGTAGTGTCCCATTGTGTTGAGTTTGCCCTCCTGTCACAAGCTGCTTAGTTTAACTAGTGATGTTGTACTCTTTTTCCCACACCACAGGATTTTAAAAACAGCTTGAAGTAATGACTTTGTGACTCTAAGCGGCTTTTCAAACAATGTAATGTGACGCAATAAACTGCGGGCTTCTGTGTCTTGTTTAGTTTTCAGGCAACATCATTTATTAAAGACATCTCTTAAGAGCCTTAAATTATACCTTAGAGCTCCTCATAGTGTGTTGTGCTAAAGGACAATTTGCTATATGTCAGTTTGTCTTCATATTGGGATTACACGGTCCACTTAGTAAACTGCTGGTCGCTGACGTTTCACAGCACGCTGTTTTAAAGTCGACGAGCTGAATCCTCAACACATGCAGGTTGTTGACAAAACAGAGTGAGCTCTGTTTGGCCTTCTGAGTCAGTCCTCCTGTTCCTCCTTTTGTGAATAATCAAAGGAGATATCGCTCTCTTATGCTTCTTTTTTCGATCTGTTTTGGACACCACATAGGTTTCACTTTTACACGGTCAGATCAGCAGTCAGAAGCTCAGATCTGATTTAGCTGTCGATCACAGAAATCAGTTTTGTTTTGTCTGCTGGGAACATGTCCTTCAAGTAAAATGTTCTGCTTAACTTGTCAACCCAAATATGTGACTTTTTAAAAAACTATTTTATACCTTTCAGTTTCTGAATCATAAGCATCAAAGATTAAACTTATTGTAAGTGTTTAGTTATATTCTTAGATCTTGACCGAACACTTAAACCAAGCTCATTAAGAAAGGTTATCAGGATAAACCAAAA